ATGACCGCTGGTCATTTGGGCATATGACTTAGGTCATATCAAAATTGTTATATGACCTGGTCATATCCCATCACTGGATCAAATTGATGATGATAGAGAAAATGAAAAAGTAGAAAAGATTATGGGAAGAGAACATTATATTTCAGTTAGGTATGATTAGAAAATTTATGGTTATTGATACTTGAGAATTTTCTTGAATTTATTTGATACATGTTTAATTATTTTATAGAAAAAGTAAACTTTAGCATAACCTGTTAATTTTGGATGATCCACAGTATGTTAGAAAACATAGTAATAGGAAAGATATATTTTATTCCAATGACATTCTGGACATTAAAGATATTGTATATAGAGTATCTATAGAAAGACATGAAAGAATTGCGTGATCAATATTTACCTTATCATAAGCAAACTATTGATAAATAAAGCAATAAGGTCTAAATTGCTTCAGGTATACCGCTAAATAAAAGTTCAAAGCTATTAATCAAGATGTAAACACATAAATCGAACAAATTTTACAAGATAAAGAAAGATTGATTAATAGAATACAATTGAAAAGAAATTTAGATAAAATTTTAGAAAAGGTTTGTTTTTTACCTTATAGACTATATAAATAGTTATTTAATTATATATTTTAAAAATTTGTAATTCCGCTCTTATTTCTTTTTCTTTATAGAAAGATTATGATGAACCTAATAAAGATATAAAGAAACATGACAAACATCTTTCAAATTATGATGTTGAAATATTTGATGACACTGATTTTTATCAGCAGCTTTTAAGAGAACTTATAGAAAGTCGCATAATTGATACAGGTAAGTCTGTATAGATTGGGGTTTACTTCTAAGGTTCTATTTTATTGATTTTATTATTTTTTTAATGTTGAACTGCAGACGAAACTAGTTTGAATGATTTGAGAATTATTGGATAAAATATTTGTTAAATAAGTTACAGATCACTGGGATTTAAAGGAGTATTTAATATATTTATATTTAATTCCACACCATAATAAAATTAGCATTTGATTCTAATGCCAAAAAAAAATAAAAATAAAAATAGAAATAAAACTAAATAAAATTTCTTATGCAAATTTATTAATATATTTCAATTAAACAATTTGCAATTCACATAAAAAAATTATAAAAAATTGGGCTATTAATAG